AGCACTGTGAAGTTACCATGAAGTTAAAGCTGCAGCACAAGTTCCATCCCCAGCCAGAGAGGGGACCCACACGGCGCGGCAGCCCTCTCCTGACCCGCCCGCCGCTCCCCTCAACGGTGCATTTCAGTCTGCCTGCCTGTTCTGCTCCCCACTCTGTCTCTGGCGAATCCTCTCACCCCCCCTCCCACACCTCTGGCCTGTACCCCAGTTCTGTAAGCATAACTAAATAATTTTTTTATAAATGCAGGTACGGTCCTAGGATTCCATTCTAAGCCCAGCTGTGTGGGTCTCAGCTGCTGTCCTACCACAGGCTTCACGGCCTGGACCCATGACTGACATTTCCCCCAGCCTCTCTGCCCTCACGTCCCTGGGCTCAGAGCCTCCTTCTCCCCTCCCCCCACTGGAGCTCCTGAGAGCAGGCAGCTGGCCCCAGGAGTCAGCTTGTGGATGCTAACAGCAGGCTGCTGGTCATCACCTGTCCCAGCTCACCTGCTCTCCTCCCCAGCCACCACAGGGGAACCATGAGCACCACCAGCACCAGTTCCTGCCTTGCTACCCAGGTTCAGGGGCGGGTCCAGGAACCCGCACCTCTAGAGCACCAGTGACCGGGGTTCCTGAGGGTGAGCACTGTGGGGATGCGCCCAATGGGGAACACTGCCAGGTGATGTCCTCAGCTTTGTTGGGGAACCTGGCCAGGTACCCTGAGTACCTGCTCTCTGGCTGGGGCTCTCCCACCGAGGGCCCCCCACTGTGGTGTGGCCCAGTGAGGTGCTCGAGCTCCCTGGAGAGCCCCAGTTGGCACTCAGTCCAGGGGCCCTTGGGTCCTCTGCTCTGCACTCCGTCATTCTTTCAAGCCCCGAGCGCAGTAATGCAGCAGCATGGGCCGTATGCAGGGAGAGCACCAGACTCCCCCTGCAGGACCCGACCTGGGCCAGGCACCACGTTTGCTCTGACTCTTACAGTTTCAACTCTGTAGTGCAGCCATTTTGCACAAGCTCATTTTCTCTTCAACACTGCGTCCTTGGAGAAAGGCATCTGATGCAATTCTCTCTCTGAAGACTTGTGCAGAGCATTTGCTATGAAGATTCGTTAGTGAGGGTGTAGAGGAGAGAGTCAACACTCCCCACCCCTGCCAGCACTCCCCACCCCTGCCAGCCCCTCTGTGGTTCGATGGGGTCACCAGGTCAGTTCTCATGGACTATGAGGACAAGTGACGCTTCTGGACCAAAGCATTTAAGAACCACAGAATGAGACTCCAGCTCTCTTCACCCTGCAAAAGCCATGGCTTGAGCTGGTAAAGCCTCAAAAAGGAGTCCCACTGGGCTGGACCCCTGGCAGAATTTCAGAGAGAAGTCAGAGTCCGTGAGTGAAGCCATGGGGCCTTGGGGGTTTCATGAATCTCATGCTATGGCCTAGCGTATCCTATTACATTAGGGGATGGAAAAAGCCTGTTTTGTAAAAAAAAAAAAAAAAGACACATCCCATCAGAAGTCACATTGGTAAGGGCATAACCATCTTCATGGCAAAGTTCTGCTGGAAACGGTGGGAGAGACTCAGGCTGGGAGCAGACCCCAGTCGAGACAGATGCCTGCGTCTCACAGGGCAGCTCTTCCAGGGGAGCTCAGTCCTGTGTACCTGGGCAGGGTCATGATGACAAAGGCCCCTGTGGCCTCGCGGACCTCTGGTTCTGCTACCTGGGAACTGCTTCAGGATTGAGCAGCTTGTGATCTTGTCCTAATGGATCCCGGGGATACGCAAACACCCCAGGAGAGATGGCTATGTGTGAGGCTGGCCAGCTCAGACCTCAGGTTTTCCACTCTACCCGATCATTTTGATAAAATGGCAGTTCCCTGTGATACTTTGCAAAATGCAGATTGCTGGGTCTGCCTCAGTGGGCTTGGTCACCGCCTCCAGGATGACCCCCGGCTCCCCCACCTCCCGAGAGCCGCCCTCCTATGTTCCCCCATATTGTGCCAGAGCTGGTGATGCACCAATATGTGGCACGTGGCAGAGTGACAGCACCTCATGACTGAGGTGGGGACTTAGCATTTTCTTGATTTTTCTCTTGCTCTAGAACAAGCCAGCTTGTCCCTCTCGTCCTTTTATGACACTCAGCTCACAGAGAGGCTCACAAAGGAAGGCACTACAGCCTCCCCCAACAGCCAGGATGGAACTGGGGTTCCTGCCATCAACCAGGTGAGGAGGGGTATGCCAGCCCCTCTTGAGCCTTCAGATAGCTGCAGCTCGAGCCTTCAGATGGCTGGCCTGAGGCTTCAGGACAGACCGTGAGCTGAAACCCTGGCTGGGCGGCTCCCCAAATGTCTGACCCTCAGGAATTGTGTTTGATAATAAATGTCTGTTCACTCAAGCTGCTAACATGTGAACAACTGGTTATGTAGCAACAGACAACTGACCCAGTGGGCCTTGGGTGAGACCCAGAAAGCCAGATTAAAAACTTCCCAGGCACATCAAGTTAAAGAGCTTCTGTACAGCAAAAGAGACATTACAAAAAACAAGCAGACATCCACTGACTGGGAAAAAAATTTCCTCACACAAAACTAGCGATAAAGGATTGATCACAAAGATATACAAAGAACTGATGAAACCCAACAAAAGTAAACAACCCCATCAAAAAATGGGTAGAAGAGCTAAAAAGACACTTCTCCAAACAGTAACTGCAGAAGGTCAACAAGCATATGAAAAAATGTTCATCACTTGTAATCAGGGAGATGCAAATTAAAACCACATGAGATACCACCTCACCCCAGTGAGAATGGCACATCTTCAAACAACTAGCAACAACAAATGTTGGTGAGGATGTGGAGGAGGTGGCACTGCTGGTGGGAATGCAAACTAGTACAACCACTATGGAAAACTGTTCGGAGGTTCCTCAAACGGCTAAACATGGAGCTTCCATATGATCGAGCAATCCCACTCCTAGGTATCTACCCAAAAGACACAAAAACACTGATTCAAAAAGATACCTGCACCCCCATGCTTATTGCTGCTTTATTTACAATTGGAAAGACATGGAACAGCCCAAATGCCCAAAAGTGGCTGACTGAGTTAAAAAGATGTGGTACATATACACAATGGAATATTACTCAGCAACCAAAAAATAAATAAATAAACTCATACCTTTTGCAGCAACATGGATGGAACTGAAAAAGATCAGTGAAATAAGCCAGAAAGAAAAGGGAAAATACCGGATGATTTCACTCATAGCAGGAGTAGAACAGACCAGGTGAGAAAATAATAGTAATAATGAACAGCTACATACCAGAGACATTTTATGAGGGTAGAGTGGGGAATGGGGTCAAAAACAGAGGGGGGGAGGGAAATGCACTGGACTATGGTGATGGCACATGGGTGATCTGGTGATAGGAAGCCCATGGGGATTACAACTGAGATGGAAAAAGGCACAAAATGATGTAAAAATAAGCTATTATATTAAAAAAAAATGAAACTTCCCAGGCAGTTCTGATGGGGCAAAGTTCAGCACCACAGGATTAGGGCCTTGGTACTTTTCTGAGGCTAAAACTGGCTTAAAGTGGTGTGTGTGTGTGTGTGTGTGTGCGTGTGTGTGGCAATACCGAAGCGTTTCCATTGTATGTTCTAACTGAAAGTGAGGAGGTGGAGACCTCCACTACCAAAGCCTTGCGGAGCGTCTACCACCCACATAAGGCCCCAGAGAAGCAACAACAAGAATGTTGGCTGATTTATTGTTGCTGGAAGAAAGAGAGAAAACTCTAGAATGCAAAACTTGAGATTTCAAAGTCTTTGGTAGCTCTACCATTTCCTCCAGTGAAACGATTCTGATAAGACTGATTTAGAGACCCCAGCAGGGCCGTTTGGGTGAGCCCTGGCAGTGGGGGTCCCTGGAGCCAGCTTCCTCCGCCTCCCCACTCCTCACCCCCAGCAGCACACCCAACACCACAGAAAACCCCGAGTGCTTCACAGTTTACACATTGTGATCTGGTCGAACAGACCTGTGCCAGCCAGCCAGACAGATGTCTGGAATGGGCTTCACCTGCCCACTGGTCCGTTCTTTCTGCACAGCAGAGAGGCTACTCAGGACAAGTGGGCAGATCACTGTGCCCACACATGGTGGCTACGGGCACACAGCCAAGAACCTCTGTTTGTCATCCACTTGCTCCCCAGCAAGTGCCCCCTTCACTGAGAGCCACCCACCTGGCACACAGGGTGGGATGGGGTGCAGAAAGCACTTCCTCGCCTACCTTCCTCATAAAGGGGGATCCCCCACCGCCTGGCCCAGCATCAGAGCAGACACTGCCCTCTCCCTCCCATGAACTCATGCACTGACTCTTCTCAGCAACACTATGAAGCAGACACTGACATTATGCTCCCTCGGCAGGGGAGGAATTACATGGGATTTGTCTGGGGTCTAGACACCAAGCCATGCGCCCCTATGTTCTTCTGCCTTCCCCCATGGAGCCCAGTCCTCCCTTCCTTTTTGAGGAGGATGAAAGGCCCTCTTTCCTGCTCAGCTGAGTGAACCCCCTTGCCCAGAGCCTGGCCCCATTCAGGGAGAGGAGCCCAATCAATGGCAAGTCAGCAGGTGCAGCAGTCACCTGGAGCTGGCGGGACACTCCGCTTTCAAGGGCCTAAAAATAGCCCTGGCCACATGAGAAGCCCCAGCAGCCCTTCCTGCTCCCGAGGAAGGCACCACAGGATGCCTCCCCTGCAGGTCAAGGGAGAAGCTTCCAGGCTGGCTGGGCTGTCATGCATGGGGCATTTCCCCTGCTGGGGACAGCTCCAGGGCTGTTACCAGAGCCCCCAGCACAGCTGAGAACCAGCTGCTGCACGCTCATCACGGGAGTACACTCTGCTCCTGGCAGGTGCCCCCCTGCCCAGCTGGCACGGTGGTACCTCTGGGCCATCTTGCTGGGGGGAAGGGAGTGCTCTGGCCCTGCTCAGGCCAGAGACAGGGGCCTGGAGAGGGGAGACAGAGTGCAAACAAAGACTGTTCCTGCACCTACCTGCCAGGTTGGGAGGACCTTCTCGATGTCATTCAGGTTGATGCTGTCCCCATCTTCCAGCTTTCCCTTTCCACACCTGGACCAGAAAAGACAGAGGCATTGAAAAGTTGACTCATTCATGCATCCTAGCCTGGCTGGCAGGTGGAAAGGGCAGGCTGGTCAGGAGACACCTGACTTGTCTCTCTCCAGACCGGTCTGCCCTGCTCAAGAGAGGCCTGCCCGCCGCCCTGGCCCGGCTACCCAGCCCTCCCTCCGGGACAGAGCACTCTGCGCAGACAGAATGCTGAGGCTAGCCTGGGGGTCATCTCCAGGGTGGCGGGAGAGGATGCGGCTCCCCCCAGACCCTCCGGCAAAGATACTACGCTCCTGTGAATGAACATCCCAAAGCTTGCAGCCGTTCTGCAAAAGCCCATCGCCCTGTCCTTTGCACCAAAGGAACGAGCAGAGAAGCCAAGCTGTTTTCTAGAGGTCACACATGGGCTCCAAGCGGGGCTTCCTCCCTCCATGGCTGGAGTTTTGAGTCAGTCCGGCACAGATACAGTCTGGCTCAGATACGGATGCTCCGTGGTCACGTTCTCTGTGGGCAGATAGGCCAGCAGGTGGTGGTGGCAAAGACACTGGCAAAGGCCCACGTCTGATGCAGCTTTACAGACGCAGAATGCTGGGACCGAAACCCCAGCTGCACCCCTGACTCAGAGACCCCCGCTGCAAGTTACTTAATCTCTTTGTACCTCATTTGTAAAAGGGGGTAATGAATAGTGCCTGACTCTGGGCCTCCCTGGTGGCGTAGGGGTTCAGTCTCTGCACCACCACCCCTACGGCCTGAGTTCCATCCCCGGCCAGGGAGCTGACCCACCTACGACACAGCAGATCTCTCTGCTCCCTGCAGCAGTGTGTTTCAGTCCTTCTGCCTGTTCTGCTCCCCACTCTGACTGGCAAACTCTCTCACCCCCACGCCTCTGGCCTACACCCCAGCTCTTCTATGCATAAATAAATACAGAACTTTAAAAATACCAGTGCCTGACATCATTAGGTGGAAGATTAAAACAGTTAATGTTTCAAAATTTTCAGAAGTGTCTGGTACATAATAAAACACTATGCAGCCCATATCTTGTACACATTGCATGGTAAAAATGGTGATGACGGGTGATTTGGTGATGGGAAATCCACAGGGACTACAACAGAGATGGAAAAATGCACAAAATGGGGCCCTCCCTGGTGGCGCGGCAGGTTAAAGCACAGCACCGAGAAGCTAAAGCCGCTTCCGCATGAGTTCGATACCCGCCTGCCCCGGAGGTGACCACATGGCGTGGCAGACCTCTCCTGACCCGCCCGCTGCTCCCCTCAGCAGTGTACTTCCTCAGTCGGCCTGTTCTGTTCCCCACTCTGTCTCTGGTGAAGCCTCTCACTGCCCCTGCGCCTCTGGCCTGTACCCCAGTTCTGTATGCACAAATAAATCAATCTTTAAAAAAATGCACAAAATGATGTTAAATAAACTACTATAAAAATGGTGATAATTCAATAAAACTATAACAAAATAAAATAAGGGAGGTAGATCACAGTGGCGACTAGTCCGGTCCTCCTGCTGCTACCACTGGGGTCGCTGAGCTGGGCAAGGGGAAGGCAGCAGCCGGATGCTGAGGGACCAGCCCAGCTTCATGCCGTTCCTCGTCTTTTCTGTCTCCTCATTTCCTCATTCGTCCACGTGAAGATACTAATAGCACCCATCTCCCTGGATTGTGGTGAGTTTTTGTTCTGTTGAGTTTTTCGTGGACAAAGAAACAACGTTTTTAGCTTGCCATCGCCCTCCTCCTCCTCCACCTTCTTCCCAGCTACTTTGCCGGACTCCTGGGCATCAAACCCCTTAGCCTGCCGGCGGCGCCCGCCTGCGCGCTGGTCAGCTCCACCGCCTGGCACGAGGCTGCTTCTGTCACGCACGCTGCCCCGCTTCTCAGCCAGCTTTTCACTCAGCTCAGAGGCGCTGGTGTCCATGGGTTAGACCTTGGGGCAGTTCTGAACAGAACAGGAGAGCCCTGATGGCGGCCTCCTGGGGGCTGGAGTCCTCCAGCCTTCCTCATCAGCCTTCCTTCTCGCAGCATCCATAGCTGCCTCTGCCACTTCTCCCCAGGCAGCTTCTTCACCTCTCTGAGCACTTGGGAAACTCAACTCTGAGCACTTGGGACATCGACGGGACCCTGGGGCTTCCTCCATAGGCTCCTCGTGCAACTCTGACATCTCCCCTTTGGCTTCACCTTTAGCCATCCTGGCTGTCCAGTCTGCTAGTCTGGGCAGTGTTGGTAGTGATGAGGGTTTTTTATTGTTATTTTCTTTAAAAGATTTATTTATTTATACATACAAACTGGGGTATAGACCAGAGGTGCACGGGCGGTGAGAGGATTCACCAGAGACAGAGTGGGGAGCAGAACAGGCAGATGGACTGAAACACACTGCTGAGGGGAGCAGCAGGCGGGACAGGAGAGGTCTGCGGTGCCATGTGGTCACCTCCGGGGCGGGGATTGAACTTGTGCTGCAGTGGCTGCAGATAACTTCCCAGTGCTGTGCTTTTACCCACTGCGCCAGCAGGGAGGGCCCATGGCGAGTTTTAAATGATGCCTGGCGAGTCCTTAGAGCGGGGATCAGCCCATGGCGAGTGCCAGGACTAGTTCCTGCTACTGGCATTGCCACGGCAGCCTCGTGAAGCCTGCCCTGCTCCACGAAGTCATCTCTCAAAGGCAGACACTCGGCTCGCTGGTCACTCTCTAACAAGTGTCTGTGTGCCGGGTCCTGTCAGCCTCCCTTAGAGGGAACTAGCTGAGCATGGATCCTGCCCTTAGAGCTCAGAACTCAGGAAACAAGCTGGCAGGGGTGTCACCACGCAGGAAGCCTGAGCTCCAGCAGGGCGCAGCATGGGGCCAGAGGCCAGTGGCAAGAGACGCTAGGGCCCGAGGAGCCCTGAAGCCCCAATCAGAGGACTGTGCAGCTGCAAAAACGAGCAAAGGCGGCCCTCCCTGGTGGTGCAACGGGTTAAGGCACAGCACTGAGAAGCTAAAGTCACTTCCGCATGAGTTCGATCCCCACCTGCCCCGGAGGTGACCACATGGTGTGGCAGACCTCTCCTGACCCGCTGCTGCTCCCCTCAGCAGTGTACTTTGTCAATCTGCCTGTTCTGCTCCCCACTCTGTCTCTGGTGAAGCCTCTCACCACCCCTGAGCCTCTGGCCTGTACCCC